ATTGTTATACCATATTATATTTATCATTTTATTTGTCAACAACATATTGTTGTAATGATGAATTTTGTCGAATAAAAAAAGGTGAATCTTAATTCTTTCAATTGGTCAATTGGTGATTGCTCTTTGTCAATTTTTTCTTTGCCATTAAATGTTAGGTTGTTTTGAGGTTAGAAACATTGTTTTTTTAATCAAAAGGCATTATGTTCTAGAGAATATGTTATGCTACTTCAAAATTAGAGAAGATAATTCTAAAAATTTTGATAGTAATACTTGGCATCTTATTAGATAAGTAGAATAAAAATTATAAACAAAGACTAATATTTTATTTTGTTATTATTATTATTTTTGTTTACAGTGACATCTATATAAATTTTATGTCATGACAATCTCAAAAAATCTTACCATACTTTTATATTTGTTCTCAAGTTTTTAGATTTGTTGATGTTAGAATGGAGAATGGTGGACATGAGGGTTATAGCAAAGATATGGGAGAGTTGACCAAAGATAAAACACCACGTCTTGGCATGGAATTTCATTCATAGGAAGTCGCTTATCAATTCTATAATGAATATGGAAAGATTATGAGGTTTGACATTAGAAGAGATTACCATAGCAAAAGTAGAAAAGATTGTGCTATGATTAACAGGAAGTTTATTTGTTATAACGAGGGAGAAAAAGAAAAAGAAAAATGGTACATGATTGTAAATCATCCTAAACATGAGACAAGAACAAAGTGCAATGCATTTATGTATGTATCTTTGGATTGAGACTTGTCGAAGTGGATAGTGAAAAAGTTTGATAACAACCATAATCATCCTTTGCATCTTCCTCAGTGCACATATTTGATACCATCTCAAAGAAAGTTATGTCAGGCTTAGGCTTTGAATGTTGAAATAGCTGATGACACTAGTATCTCTGTTAAAGCATCACATGATCTCATTAGTGCCTTAGCAGGGGGAAAAGAAAATTTGGGATTCACGAAAGCTACTTGCGTGGAAAAAGACAACGAAATTTGCAACACGGAGAAGCTGGGAGTTTATTAAGATATTTTCAACAACAATCAGCTGAAAATAAATATTTTTTAATTGGATGTGGATGAGATGATTACTAATATTTTTTGGGCTGACCATGAGATGATTACAGATTATGATCTTTTTGGTGATGCCGTATCATTCGACACAACATTTCGCACAAATAAGGAGTATCGGCCAGTAGTTTTATTTACTAGCTTTAACCACTTTAGAAAGACAGTGATTTTTGGTACCTCATTATTATATGATGAAACTACAGCTTTATTTGAGTGTTTATTTGAAACCTTCTTGCATGCAATGTCAAGGAAAAAGCCTACCAGTTTTTTCATAGACCAAGATCAGGCAATTATTAAGGCAATATCTAAAGTCATGCCTAAGTTTTTCCATGGATTATGCACTTTCACCTAATGCAAAATGCTTTGAAGCATTTAGGGTACTTGTATAAGAATGGTTCAAAATTTGGTAGTGACTTCAAAGCTTGTATTTTTGGATGCGAGGATGAACACGAGTTAATTGAAGCTTGGGATTCTTTGATTGATAAATACAACTAGTATGAGAATGATTGGATGAAGAAGACTTGGGAAAAAAAAGAGCAATGGGCGCACGTATATATGAAATACTTGTTCACTGCAGCAATGCGAAGCACCCAACTTAGTGAAAGCCTGAACGCAGCATTAAAGAGGTGTTTGCAAGCTGATCATAATATTGTTCAATTTTTTACCCACTTCAATCGGATTGTTGTAGATAAACGGTACGAAGAAGAAAAAGTTATATATAATTCTAGACGACAATTGCCGAGAATGAAATTGAAAAGGTCTCCAATTTTGAACCAAATTGCGAATTTGTACACCCTTTCTATCTTTGACTTATTTCATAATGAGTTGGACATGTCTTTTTCTTGTCAAGTGAAGCAATGCCATGAGTTAGAAGTAGAAGTTCAGTACGTGATTAGCTTGTATGGTAATGATAGAGAGTATATTGTGGAGGGTAATATGGAAGTTCATGAGTTAGGAAAAGACAAAATTTGTCAAAAAATTTATTGCACTTGTCAAAAATTTGAAAACATTGGAATTTTCTGTGGTCATGCAATTAAAGCACTTGATAGAATGAATGTTATGGAAATTCCTGAGAGGTACATATTAGGTCGATGGAGATTAAATGCCAAGAGTGGTGAAATTAAGGAAGAAAAGTTGAAGTGGATGAGAATGATCCCAAGTTAGAGATATCAACACGTTACAGGGATCTTTGTCCTAGGATGGTAAAGCTAGCAACTCAAGCATCTATGTATAAGCCTGCTTATTAATTGGTTGATGAAGGGATTAAGGAACTGTGTACAAAAGTGAATAAAATGATGGTATCATTTGATGATTTGGGTGATTGTGGCAGTAAAAGCAACATTGATATGAGTTCTAATCTTAACTTTGCAAGAGTTAAAGGCTTAAAAAAAAAAGGTGGACAGAAGGGTGGGGGTAGATTAAAACCTTGGCATGAGAAGACTAATAAGAGGACAAAAATTATTTCACAACCTACCGGCCTTAGTAAGGTATTTTTCACCTAATTGATTCTAATTTTTGTTTTCTTTTTGACTCATGCAATGTATTGATAAATGTTATAATTTGTTTAGAAAATTGGCCAATCAAACAACACGTTAATTGTTCAAAGTTCCTCTTTATGCTGCTCACAGGTTAGATTTTATTTTTTATATTTAAATTTTCTTATAATAGTATATTTACTTCTAACAGTATTTTATGAATTAGGATGTTGGGATACCCTATTGGCCACAATTGATGAATTATGGTCACAATCTTTTCAAGCTTGACGATACTAACATTGCGTGCTCATCAAGTTACCCACAGTCTACCCTTTTATCTTCATAACTATCAGTTAATCCACAAACTTCTCAGGTATACAATTTAAGTTTGTAATTTAGTTTGTTTTTAATAAAAAAATAAATTGATTCCAATATATTTTCTCACACTTATTCATTTTAATTTTTTTAGGGGATGTCATTTGATGAAGGAGAGCTCAATCCCACCCGAGGGGGGAGGGGGGTGAGTCATTCTTAGATAATGACACTTTTTTAAAATTTTGTGGTCATTCACAACCTCCCCTACAGAATTGAAATATAGTATTTTTATTTTATTTTTTATCGTAATTCTTAGATAATGGTTTTTTTTTTTTAGACATATTTTGAATATTTCAAATGGGTTTTATAGAATTTTGTTTGAGCCTTGAAATTTTTTTTAGTGTTGTTTTGGATGGATATATTATAGTTTTTGGCATAACTTGATAATTATTATTTTTTAATTATTGATTTGATGAATTATATTGTTTATTCTTGAAGTAGCTATTTTGCTTCTTGTTTAGATGGATAAGTGCAAATATATATCGAACTGAATGGTGTCATCAATTCATAAAAAATATAAATTAAATTTAATGGACATTATTTATTCTCTCACTATGAAATTAAGAACCACAAAATAAAGTGGGATGATGACATCCACCTAGTTAGATTTATATACATATAGTTTTTTTTTAAATAATATAATAAATAATATGTGTCCTTAATAGGAATGAGGACACAAAGTGGCGCAGTAGTAAGAGCGTTGCATCTATCGAAGGGGTCAAGGGATCAACCTCAGTGTTGTTGAAATTTTTTGAAATAATCGTGGAGCCCAAAATGATGTCGTTTTGGGCGCGCAGCAGCACATTCCCAAATCCTATTATTACACCCTTATGAAAAATTATTTGGTATTTCTGAAACGCCACGTGATATTATTTTTTATCAATCACAACCATGTTATTTGTTAATTAACTAACAAAAAATTATTAATCCAACTTTCTCTATCAATCATAATATACCATGCCCAATATTACTCTCTAATCACCCAAATCAAAATTATTGGTTCCACCGCCTCCGGGATCACAACATAGTTAAAGCAGTGGCTAGCTTTCAGACTAACCAATAAATTCTCTTGGGAATAATAGAGATTCCTACAAAACACAATTCTCATAACTCTCAAAATGATTTAAACCATTCATATTATTGTCAGAGATAGGGGTAAGCATCGTCCGGATTAGATCGGATTGGGGTAAAACCAGCACCAATCCGTTATCTACGGTTCTTGAAAAATCGGAACCAATCCAATCCGTTTAAATCATGAAACCAATCCGTTTAAACACGAATTGGATCGATTTAGGACCACAGATTCACATAATTAAATAACAAAATATATATATATATATATATATACAACATTTTAAGGCCCCGCTTGTTTGGGGTTATAGCAAGGGGATTAGGATTATTAATACATTGGGACTAATATATGGGGTGTTTGTTTTGAGAGATAGCCTTGGGACTACTAATACCTTGGAACTAACTAATACCTTGGTATTACTAATACCTTATTTGTTTTGAGAGATGGGGAGGGTACTACTAATACCTTAGTATTACTAATACCCTTGGGGAGGGGATTCATAGTGAGGAGGTAGAGATACTAATAACAATCCCTTCACTATTAATCCCCTCACTATTAATCCCCTCCATTCCATCTCTGGAAACAAACGGGGCCTTATTTCATAAAAATATAAACATAGCATTATATTCGTTCCATAATAACAACATGTTTTTCTATAATAGTGACATAATGTTCTAGAATTTAAAAAATCATAAGAAAATTGGTTTTATCATAAGTATTTAGACCATTACAAATTAAAACTAAAAACTAACAAACAAAAGTAATAAAAGAATATATTATACAGGGTTTAGGTTTGAGTTTAGGTTTTATATAGAATAAGAGAATATACTATAGGGGAGGATGCATAATAAAAATATAGGCTATTTGCATACGGTCTGGATCGGTTCCAATTCGGAACCGTGGGGTTCAATCCGGAACCAATCCGTGGACTACGGATCTTTAATTCTTCAATCCGAAGCCAAACCATAGATTTAAAAAATCAATCAAAACCTATCGGATTGGACTGGACTAGATTTGGTAACGAATTTTAAGGATTTCTTACACAGCCCTAGTCAGAGATAAAAAAAATTAAACACATCAATGATCAATACATCAGGAATTGTGTAGCCACCTTTGTGGGTCGAAACATTTTCCTAAATTCTCCACCCTAATTAGCTGATGGCATGACACGTGGTGCCAATGGGGCACAATTAATTTTCCCGCCAAGATCGCTCGATCCAAACGGGGTGTAACTGTTTCTCTCGGTGGCTCAGCTCGCCCTGCGACCGACTCCACCGCTTCTCCACCAGTTCCCACCAGTCAAGCTCTTTCTCTCTCTCCCTTCATTTTCCGTCATTATATCCTAATTTTTCTTGCTAACCAAGCAACAAATCTCAATCACAGATCTGTCCGTATTGTGTTGAAGTCGAAGCTGAAACTATGTCGGTGCTATCAGCCAACGGCAAGGTCGACCTGTTATCAAATGGCTTCGATCCAACGACCGTCCCTGCGGAACCCTTGCCTCCGGTCGTGGCTTCGGAAGGTGAGATCGGCAATGGAGGCAAAGTCGGAGGAGAGAAGAAGAGAGAGATTGTGCTGGGGAGGAACGTGCACACCTCATGCCTCGCCGTCACGGAGCCCGAAGTGGACGATGAGTCCACCGGCGATAAGGAGGCTTTCATGGCAGGTGTCTTGGCTAGGTATCGGAAGACTCTCGTTGAGAGGACCAAGCACCATTTAGGTAAACCCTTACAATAAGTAATCCTTTCGTTTTTATTTTGTTTTTGCTCCGTTTGGCTGCTGACAAAATGGACGCCAATTACAAATACCGAATTAACTCAAAAAAATGAAATTCCTGACTACTTTCTGAATTCTTAATTGAAATATATTTGTGACATTATTAAAAAAAAATTAATTAAATTTATGATTTATTAATAAAAGAGATTATTTATTATGCAATTAAAAATTTGAAGAGGTAAGATGTAATTTTTTGAATTACAAGGGTAATATATATTTTAAACAAATTTCAAGAATTGTATTTGTAAATTATCCATTTTAGTTCTTGTCTTTTCTAAGCTTTGGACAATTATGTAAAAGAGAAATTATAAATGCGATCTCTTACATATTGAGTAAGCTCACAATTTGCAAATTTTGGTATTTTCTAATTATTTTTTTACCTTTGCCCTTTTCATTCAAGAAATGAGGACCATAGTTATCATAATATTTCTTTGGTGCAATTTATTGTAATTAAATAAAATTTGCAACCCGCCAATATGATTTATAAATTTTCAATTTAGTTTTTTGATTTGGTGCATCTGAGTAGCCAAATTGAAGGCCTGTCAATGGGTACGATAATGTTTTGTCCAAACTCTATTGGACAAAATGTAATTTGGTGTCCAATCTGGATATTGCACTGTAACATTGTAATTAGAATTTGAAAAGGATTGGATATTTTTTAAGATGTAGTTATTTAAACAAATGTTGAGAAACTTGTGTCCAATGATTGTTTTTTTATGCATCTGTACTGAAATGTGTATAATTTTGGGCGCCATTGTGTAAAAGCTTAGACACCAAGGAGAACATGGGTTTTGAGTATGATGGCTGTTGTTGACAGTCAATGACTATGGCCAATTTATCCTATTGGATTCTGCTAAGGTTGTGTTTAGATTATGGATTTGGATAGGAGTTTGAAAGGGAAAGGGAAAATGTGAGTGAATGTAGTTATATTTCATTTACATTTTACTCACTTTTTCCCTTTCTTGTTTGGATTGTTGATTTAGGTAGGGATTTGGAAAAGGAAAGGGAAAAAGTGGATAAAATGTAGTTATGCTTCATTCACAGTTCACCCTTTTTTTCCTTTACCCTTTCCCTTTCCAAATCCTTACCCAAATCTATAATTCAAACACAGCCTAAGGAGTGGCTTAATGTAATCGTATGAGGTCCTAGTATTAAACATGTAATCATGTAAAGATGGCAATTCCTATGTACACAACTTAATCTTAAACAAATTTCAAAAATCTGTTATCTTAAGCTTGTATTGATTTTGCCTTTAAATACTTCTTGTAAATACAGTTATTGCCATTAAATACCTGTATCAGTTTCTTAAATTTTACACTTTGTTAAATTTATAGTAGTCAAAATAATGCACTTCTGCAGAGCTATTCTTTTTTCTCTCACACGAAATCTATTGTTTTCTTATAGCTTTTTTGTGTTAAATTATGTTACTACAGGTTATCCATATAATCTGGACTTCGATTATGGTGCTCTTTCACAATTGCAACATTTCTCCATAAACAACCTCGGTGATCCATTTATTGAAAGCAACTATGGTGTTCATTCAAGACAATTTGAAGTGGGTGTTTTGGATTGGTTTGCCCATCTATGGGAAATAGAGAACAACAAATACTGGGGATACATTACGAATTGTGGCACAGAAGGCAACCTTCATGGAATCCTAGTTGGGTTAGTATATATTTTAGCTTTAGCTTGGTGGTGCTTTGTTTTTTTTTTTTATTTCTGAGGATTTTTCTGTTCAAGAATTTTTCTAACATAAGCATAATTTAAATATGCAGGAGAGAAGTATTTCCAGATGGAATTTTGTATGCTTCGCAAGAGTCGCATTACTCTATCTTCAAAGCTGCACGAATGTACAGGATGGACTGTGTCAAGATTGGCACTTTAATGACTGGGGAGATTGATTGCGCAGATTTCAAAGCCAAGCTACTTCCTAACAAGGACAAACCAGCCATCATCAACGTGAACATAGGTGTCTATTCTCACTCTCTCTCTTGAACTTGCACAAGCACACAGACACACACAAAATACTACACGCCCATTAACACCTCCATGAGTTGATTCGTGTCTCTTTGTGTTGCAGGAACTACTGTCAAAGGAGCCGTTGATGATCTTGATCTTGTTATACAGACCCTTGAAGAATGCGGATTGTCATATAATCGGTTTTACATCCACTGTGATGGAGCTTTGTTTGGGCTCATGATGCCATTTGTCAAACGTGTAAGTGGATTTTCTTTTGCCTCCACTTTTCATGCCCCACCATGTACAAGGCTTCGGGGCCTTCAATTTATGATTTTTCCCGGATCTATCTCAAATCACTGAACTCAAGGAAAGTCTAAATAATATCCCACACTAAATGTTACTGTGGTGTTGGTGATTATCATCACAAAGGTTGGTGAACCTAGTTGAAGGTACTTCATTCATAACCTCATGAGGACCTTCGATTTGTTTGTTCCTGGCTTGACAGAACAGTTTAAAGGTTAGCTTAACCATTTTCACGTGACCAATAAGTAGTACAAAAAAATGGTTATTAGACCTACTTCCCACCCTGCTGATCAAGGATGGGAACATGTACAAATAACCATCTTTGCTTAATAGGCTTAATCTCTCAACACTATCCCTCTTCTGAATCTTGTTATCTTCCATCTGATCTTATTCATAGATAATAAGATTGATAAACAATATCATTTGTTTTTTTGTTTCATTTTTTCTTTCTTGAGCTTATTGTTCTCTGGGGAAGAACAGGCACCCAAAGTAACCTTTAAGAAGCCCATTGGAAGTGTGAGTGTTTCTGGTCACAAGTTTGTTGGATGTCCGATGCCATGCGGTGTTCAGATAACAAGAATTGAACACATTAATGCCCTTTCCAGGAATGTTGAGTACCTTGCTTCAAGAGATGCCACGATAATGGGAAGCCGGAATGGCCATGCTCCAATCTTCCTGTGGTACACCCTGAACAGAAAAGGTTACAACGGGTTTCAGAAAGAGGTCCAGAAGTGCCTTAGAAATGCTCATTATTTGAAAGATCGTCTTAGGGAAGCAGGCATTAGCGCTATGCTCAATGAGCTGAGCAGCACAGTTGTGTTTGAGCGACCTCTAGATGAAGAGTTTGTTCGGCGGTGGCAACTTGCTTGCGAGAGAAATATGGCACATGTTATTGTGATGCCCAATGTCACCATTGAGACACTAGATTATTTCTTAAATGACTTAATTGAAAAACGCTCAATCTGGTATGAAGATGAGAAAGTTCGACCTCCTTGTCTTGCTGCAGATATAGGGAGTGAGAATTGTGTTTGCCCTCTTCACAAGTGATTTGTCAGTCCATCAAAGTAATTTTGATTCTGCTGTCATTTGTAGCAAAACATTAATCTTAGTTCAAGAGCAATCTTTTTCAGTTTATATGTATTTTTCACCGCCTGATGAATCTAGGCTTGTATGCAGTTTAGTGATTTTTTGTAATTGCCCCTGCTTATAGTTATAGTAGTTTCACTCATATTGCTTGTGCAAGATTCTCTTACACAAAATTGACCTAGTATCAACTGTTAACATTCTTCTTCACGGTGAAGCAAAATTCACTTGATATTCTGGGCAGAAATTGTTGAAATTGAACAAAATACGACGTTATTCTTGTTGATTGATGTTAATGGTATGGCACAACTCTGAACGATGATTTGCAACTTGGAAGGTGTAGTGTTCACTTGCTTTATTATTCCCACATGTTACTTGTATGAATTGAAATTTCATTTGCTACTAATTAGTTTAACACAGCTGTATTAGTCCGTCTTGGAAGCTTCCTAAATGTGCAAAATGGGATTTGTCAGTAGATTCTGATCTCCGGTAAGATTCATTCTGGAGATTGCAAAGGGGATGTGTAAACAAGCATCACCCATTGATTCTATACCTGATTCATAACTAGAATCTATTAATGTCAACCCTCAAAATCGAAAATCCAACTGTGTCATATTTAACTGGATGTAGGTAAAGAGTACCACAATTATTCTTTGTATTACAATAGTTTACTCATTATTGAAACTACTAATTATCTTCTCAATCATTTTCTTGAGAGTTTTTAGTACAATGTCTTAAAAAGTTATTTGTTTACTTCTTCTTTCTTTTTCTTTCTTTCTTTCTTTCTTTCTTTCTTTTTCTTCCACTTCAATTTCCCCTTCTGGATATACTCTGCTTTCTGCATCCTTTCTCATCTGCAGGCATGCTTTAGGATTCTACAGAGGCTCAACCACAATTGGATACTTGTTCCCTGGCATCCTGACAAGCGTTGGGCAGACGGAGTCATCTTTTTCCAGAGCTCTCCACCTGCAATGGAGGTCACTATGTTAAATTGGGAGCATGATTTCTTAAAAGTTGAGGTTCTTTTTTTTTAGGTAAGGTTGTGTGCATCTTGCCATCCCAGATCCCGCTTTAGCAAGATTCTCATGCAAATAAACTAGATGCCATTAGGCTTACAAAGTGGCCATACGCCACATCTAGTAGATTACCAATACCAGATTATCAAATATGTTCCAAGTCCTAATGTTCAAGCTTCCAAATTTGACCAATATCAACAAATGGTGATTCTTACTATCCCCGAGGAGCTTCCGTGGTATTGGAAAATGTACGATTATTCTCATCTGCATTTTGGTGCGCTGCTAGCTCTTTCATTTCATGGTTGGGCTTAAACAGAATTTAGGTAACTTAACAAATACTTGAATGAGATTCTTATGTTTAAAATGTACTCCATAAGCAGAATATAAGATCCCCCAATTATGACTTTTTTCTTTGTTATCTTACTTGTATCTGCAGACCAGGTGATGAATGAAGACCGAAATTTCAAGCTTGGCAAGGTTGATTCCGGGACACATACGTGGTCCGCTACCAAACCCAAGAAAGCTGAAAGGTTTTAAAGGTTCCTGCAATTGATCCAGTGAAGCCTTTACCATCATGTGAACGACATAAAAGGAAAAAGAGAGATAGATTATGATGCGCTAGAACTTACATCAAATCTGGAGGGGTTGAACTTTTCGGGGTCAGGGAAAACTTCCGGGTCGTGGTGAATGGAAACTACATCCAAGTTGATAGACCAACCTTTCTTGATTTTGTATCCTGAAGTATTGGGAAAACATTTTTTCATAAATTTATACGGGTTAATTCACAAGTTTCAGTTGGAAATATCAGTGTTGGGAGGTTTTGCTCTCTCAGAGATTCCTACCATCTATCTCAAAGTCCTGAGCAGCTTTTCTTGAAAACCAAGGTAGGATTGTGGCTATGCGAAGAGTTTCATTGATCACCTGAACACAAAAGGTTGGAAGAATGCTCAGAATGTGAATTTTCAATAGGAGAAATATTTCAAGAACGAAAACATTTGACACATTGCATACTTTGGCAGTGTAAGGCATGTTGTTGACTTCGGACCAGGTGAGACTTGATCCACCATTTCTGATTTCGCAAATTTCCATGTGCTCCTCCTGCAAATGCACCAATCAAATTCCCCTATGAAGCCAATGGAGAAAAATAAAATAAAAATAATAGTCTGCTGCTAGAATTGTAGTAAATATTACCCTAAGACGGTCCAAAACAGCAGGATTTTCTCCAAGGAATTTAATGAGCCATGTGAGAGCAGCAGTTGTGGTATCATGACCTGCAACTAGAAGGGTTAGTATGTTGTCCTTCAACTGTTTATCTGTGAGTTTATTGTCGTCATCGCTTCCTTCAGCACCGTCTGTGCTATGCTTCTTTATCAGTGATTCTAGGAAATCTTGTTGGAAGCCTTCTCCACTCCTCCGCTTGGAAATGGTCGAGTCCAACATTTCATACATCCTATCCCGAGCCTGATCATCATGAAATTTGTGGAATTAGGGCATTTCCATTAAGTTCTTACCTGGATTTTTAGTTGCAGCGTTGCTATTGAATGATGTCGGGTGTGCCCTCCATTTTTTGTTGGATTCCAATATATGTATTGACCTCACCATTGTAAATTGTGAAGCTTACCTTGATACCGCGATGAAAAGCAGTCCCTGGAACTTTAATTGGCAACGAAGCAAAACAAGAAGAAATGATTTTGAAGTTGGCACGGAATTTCTCTTGCTCTTCACCATGGGGCTCTAAGCTCATAATCATGTTGCCTATGACCTTGAGTGTGAACTGCATTATTCAAAAACTCAAGTTATATATCAGAAAACAACATGGGGCCATGAATTTCAACTTTGTTGAAGTCAAATCAATACATAACTGTTGAAGCCTCCTCGAGAACCAAGACTTTTCTGCCAGGCCATGTGTCCAAAGTTTCAGTGGCCAAAGCGTTCATAAATTGGAAGTACTTCTTTAGGCCATCCATTGACAGGGGCTCGGCTATCAGCCTGCGAAGCCGCTTGTGTGCTTCCCCACTCTGTTGGAGCAAGCTTGTCGGGCCTAGCACCTGCTTCCCAGTATAGAACAGGTTCAAGCTCACCACCCCATCTTTGCCTGTCAACAAAATCTTGCTTGCTTCTCTCCCAGTCATGAAGACGGTATATCTCCCCAACACAAAACTCTTAAACACCTTTCCATACCTAACACAAAAAGACCGTGAAAATGGAAGATTAAAACCCTGGTTACTTTGAAATGTTGACGTTCAGATTGATCTCAAATTTGAATTAGGGTTTATTTGGATCAGTATTTTTTGCAAACTGAATGTTAATAATAAGAAAGTAGAAGTTAAAAGTATAATAGAAAAATAGAAGTTAAAAACATCACTCTCTTAGCTTATCTTTTACTTGTAAGCTGTAAATAGAAGTTGTACTCAACAGTTTGACACAAATTCTCTAAACTAAAAATAAAAATAAAAATTATAAGCAGGACCCATAAACTGCATCAAATGAGGCCTTAATTACCTCTGTTGCCTCTCCTTCATGAAGTTGTAAATACCGGAAGGGCTTGAAAATTCAGACAAGAATGAAAGACTCTCCCCAACAACAGGCAATCCAAGGCTACCCGGGATTACCTCCATTTCTTTGGGAGAGGTCCATGAACGCATCAAGAAGATGACTGAAACTACAAGAACCAATACCAGTGCCAAGAGCATCTGCAACATCATACTCAGCTCCATTCCCTCTCTGCCCAAACTTGGTTGAAAACACATGTATATATATCAGATGTCTCGGGATCAAAGGTATCTATAACTAGTATTGTTATATATGTCGAGTAATAAGCTTTGATCTGCATAGTATATTCCTCCTTTGTCTTTGTTGTGGACATGTTTTGGCTGCTTAGTGAGTTACTTACTGTACAGTTTTTTGAACTTTGTTGATTTGACATTGTAATAAACGAAGGCTGTCCTTGTCCTGATCAATCAACATAGGTCATTTCGTTCAACAAAAAATAAATAAATAAATAATCAACATAGGTCATTGCTTTAGGCATTTGCTAGTGACTGATTTGATTGCTTTCTGATAGTTTTTTATATGTTGTTTTTAGTTTGTGTCTGAGGAATTTTTACCTTATCTCCTTGGTTTTTCATTATGTTATTATATGGGTTGATGACATGTGGAAGATATCGAATTTGTTTACCAAATGAAAACTCTAGCTGTGGAATTAAGGATGATTCTCATCGATGATTTGCTGGCTTTGGCGGTGTCTTTGTTTTTTATTATTATTATTATTATTTTTGGTTGCAGTATGATGAGAGGCTTATGTTCTACTAAGAGCATAATTGATGCCAAACTGCCAATTACCTAGTTTTGTTTGTGTGTGTTTTTTTTTTTTTTTTTTCAGCTACATAGTTGTTTGCATGTGATTTGTGTTACGATCTTTGTAGATCCAACTTATGGTAACGGCATGAATTGGATTATTTTAGAATAAGACGGAATATATGAATTGATTTCATGCGTTTCATTAGATTTAAGTTTTTGACATATCAAGTTTCTAACATTTGGTATTAGAATTAGCACCACTTCACAAGTCCAAGGGGAAAAATTATTGGTGGTGTTGAATACTGATAGGTGAGTAAAGTCGTGGAAGAAAAAAAAGTTATTATCATGTTGGTGTTGATAGAGCCGGTTACCAAGAGGGTCAACCTCAAAACACTATTCTAGTATGGGATGAAATATAAAAATCGATTCCATGAGTTCTTTTAGACTTGGATATTTTTATGTATCGATCAAGTTCCTGACAATTTATAGGTCAATCATTCTAGGGATATGAGGAGTGCTCGTTTAGATCAAAGTCATCATGTCTATACATGTATGTACTCATGTCATACATCCATGAAAGATAGCACCTTCCCAAAATGAGATTTTGTAACAAACATCTTGTTATCTTCAGTATACCAAACGTGCCAGGTTGCTAAACCTTGCCATTGAATTATATTCTGTTTGGACAAATGTTTGATACTGTGATAGATAATTGTGGTCCAGTCCGCTACAGCAGAGCACATAGGTAGACCTCAGAGGGGAAAAAATGCCTCTTGATGGCTGAGAAATGACAAAAAAGGAAAATAAAAGAAAAAGAAAGTCTAATAAAAAAAAAAAACAATAAAACAAAAAGTTGATCCAAACACACCCCAAAGAGGAAACACCAACCAATGAACAGAAAACATCAGAATCAAAAAAGGAAACACTGACAAATCAACACAAAACATCAAGAATCATAGTTGGGCCATGAAAATTTGGACTACCAAGTATTATCAATTACAATAATACCCTTAAATAGTTTATATAGTTTTGGAAGATTACCTAAACACACGAGGGCATTATTGTAACCTTATATAATAAAAACAGAAGGAGAGTATATTTGAAACATAAAATGGAGTGAGTGGAAAAAACCTTGAAATAAGTTCTAAATACCTCTCATGTACTGGATATTCCAGACATTTTCTGCTTTGCAGAGCTGTTTCAGCTTGACAAAGTCCTACACACTTGACATAACACCAAATATAATATTAGGGTGTTGTTATATGTCTTTTCATCATTATTTCTCAACGACTGAAAAAAACCCCTGTGGTTAGATTACATAGTCCCTATATTGTCATCTTAATTACAGATAAAGAATACATTTCCTTAGCCATGATCTACTAAGATCATTCTAATTCAATAAGACAACATTTTTTTACCAGAAATTTCAAATATAAGTTTAAAGCTCAATAGTCATTCACTCACAATAGCTCTATAGCATGATTTCTATCCTAGGAATACGTAACCCAACATGTGTATAACTGATACAAAACACTGAATGGTAAACACTCATTCACAACCTACACCTGCAACACATATTCATATGTACAGAATGGTAAACACTGAATTGTATCGCGAACAGATTTCTGGGATATCACTGAATTCTGTGGTTGAAGTTGGAGAAGCTGGGCTGGGGCTGAGCACTTGGCATCTGGTGATTGGCCCTTGATTGAGACGTGTGAAGCTGTTGTTGGGGCTGCTGAGCTTGGTTGTTGCTGAAGTGCTGAAACATCTGCGGGTGGGAGGAGAACTGTGGCGGTAAACCTCTGTTGAAGGGGTTTCCGTTGGCGGTTGGGATTTGACCGGTTGCTATCTTAAGCCTCTGCACTTCTTCCCTCAGTGTATCATTCAGAGCTGCAGCAAGTAGCAACATAAAACAACAGTTCCTCATCTTCCATTGATTACAATATAAAGGGCAAATTATATCCATGGTCCTTGTAATTAGTCTTTTATATCAATTCAGTCTTTGTAATTTTAATTGTATCAATTTTTCACATTGTCAATTTAGTCTAATTGATAACATTGATTAATAAATTAGACAGAAATCAAACGTAAAATGGTTCATTCAAAAGGGAATGGATCATCTCAAATTAGATGTCAATCCCTCAATCACTTTGATAAGAACAAATGGACAATTTTGCCCCTTAATTTCAATCTAATTTTTAAAGGAACAATATCAATTGGACTAAATTGACACAATCAGAGCCAAAACTGACACAATAGGCAAGCCACACGACTATGGGTTTAATTTGTCCCATAAAAGAATAAGTAAAATGGGAGCAGATTTCATCAATCTTCAAACAATGTTTACTATTATCCAAGATGGCTTCATGATTTGCGAGAGACGCAACTCTTCATATTGTTTTGCATGGACTTGCCATTAATATACTCCCTCTGTCCCAAAATATTAGTCCCTTATTCTATTTTTCATTGTCTCAAAATATTAGTTCCTTTTAAAAAAATCAAGGACTAAAATAATATGAATTTCTTATTTTGTCATTCTTTTAAATTCATTAACAATATAAAAAGTACAATTATGACAATTGCTATTTCAAAAAAATATACTATCAAAGGGTAATTTTGAAAATTAATATTTTTAAAGTACAATAATTGTACTATAAAAAAAAGTTGGATTCTCCAAAAAAGATTATTATTTTGTGACGGAGGGAGTACTTGATTTCACCTTTGCTTATATAAACAAGATTATTCAAGAATGTTGTCGGTTCAGGGTTCAGTACCAAAAACCATTTTTTGGATATAGCAAGTCCATCCTAAAAGACGAAAAATCATTTCTATATGGTTCTTAAGTCTATGGAAGCAGCATATGCATTCTTGAAACAATGCATACCATCTCGAAGATGTGCTTGTTGTTCCATTGCCTGTAACCGCAGTTTGAGTTCCTTGTTCTCAACAGTCAATCCAGTAGTGTCTCTCTGCACCACATGAAACGATAAACATAAGTTTGTGTTTTTCATATTCATTTTTTCCCATGTTTTCTTACGGCTCATGAGGGAGCAACATGGTTAGGCAGTGAATTGTACAAGAAAGCCCCCTATATAATATACTTCTTTACTCTGGTTGGTTAGTGATTATATTACTCACCCAAGCTCTATAAGTACATTAAGATATAAACTAAGACAAGACGAATAAAATGCAGGTATATCCTACAAGATACACACTAAAAAACAAAGAGCTAAAAACCAGATGTTCAGTTTGAGCAGCATTACAACAACATTGGATCCTTTAAATGTCAATAATTATTTGTCAAAGGATTAAAATACTAATTTCCCTGATAAAGTGATTCAATAACCTCCGATTTTCCCGATGAAGTGATTCAATAATCTCCTCTAGAAAGCAAGAAGGTGCTGTTAACAATGTTCTGTATCTCACCAATTAATGGCATATATACCCATAAGATAATAAATGAGAACGGTCTCTAACATAGGACAAAACTATCTTGTGATGAGAACAATACTAATCAAGTTTTATGGTAATTTAGGACGAAATAGCAACATACTCCACAGATTTTTCTTTATACCCGTTAATGATTAGCCAGTACAAGAAAGCTAACAACATAATGTATTTTGTCAAAAAGTAGATAAATGGCAACCAGGAGTACATGTATTGGGGCCCGTTTGGCAGAGCTTATAAGTAGCTTAAATCAGCTTTTGGCTTAAAATAAGTCATTTTGGAGTGTTTGGTTGAGCTTATGAGAGATAGATTATAACTTACATTAATTGATTGTGAGCTAAAAGTTGTAAGCTACCTCAGAGGTACTTTTTTTTTTAGCTTATGCGCGCAGCTAGTTATAGAAGGGCGAAATGACTTAAATGACCCTTCAAAAATTCATAAATTACAAAAATACCACTATATAAACTTGACAATCAAACACTGTTCACGTCCAGAGAGAGAGAGAGAGCGTGAGAGGAGATTTCCAACGGCCTGAGGGGCGATTTCCGACGACTATTCTGGCTAAGATTTCGAGCTGTTGGCGATTTCCAACAGCCTAAGAGGCGATTTCCGACGACTATTCTGGCTAAGATTTCGAGCTGTTCTCTCTCTCTCTCTCTCCGGCGTTGGTTCGTCACCTTGCAATCTGAACCAATGCCGTCGTCACGATTTGAACCAACGCCCATCGCGATCTAAACCAATGCCGTCATCGCGATGTTCTCTCTCTGTCTCTCTCTTTGCGGCGTTGGTTCGTCGCCATTGCGATCTAAACCAACGCCGTCGTTGTGATCTAAACCAATGTCGTCGTCACAATCTGAACCATCGCGATCTGTCTCTCTCTCTCTATCTCTCTTGTTGTTGGTCTCTCTCTCTGTGTGCGTGCCTCCGTCATCGTCCCCCATCCCCCATCGCGATCAGCCGTGCTAGGCGATCTCAAACCCTGGCGCCGGTTCATCGCAGCTATGCCTGCCGGAGCTACGGTTTCAATTTTGTGTGTGTGTGTGTGTGGAGGTTTTCAATATTTTTTTAATCAAAAAAATAATAATAGTAATTAAGCATTTTCACTAATTAATTTAGAATGAAAAAAATGAAATAATTTTATACTAATTGATTTATAATGAAAAAATGAAAATAATAATCTATAATGAAAAAATGAAAATAAGCCATTTATAATGAAATAATTTTATACTAATTGATTTATAATGAAAAAATGAAAATAAGCCATTAATTGACACTAATTAATTTAGAATGAAAAAATGAAAATTTTTTATACTAATTGATTTATAATGAAAATTTGAAAATAATAATTTATGTAATACTAATTATATTAACTTTTATTAATGAAATAATTTTTTTAAAATTAAAACTGAAAAAAAAAATGACAATATAATCATTTTTATATTATATAAGGGCAAAAAGGACAATTATACATCAAAAAGTTATTTTACAACTTATCAACCAAACACTACTCTGCTGCTTAAATTCATAATCTCATACCTGCACCAAACAGGTTAAAAGCTTATGTTCACATCTATAAGTTATAATCTGTTAAACTATAATCTATAATCACTTTTCCACAATTCTACCAAACGGGGGCATTATCCTGTTGACCAGGCCATGCATGAAATTGGTCTGTAAACCATGAGGTGTGCCAAAATACTTCAAAACATAAGATCAAAAGATGAACAAAGCAAGATAAAGGACCCAGTAGACACCGCCTTATATAGTTGAAACCAAACCGATATATAGAACATGACAAAGTGTGTTGCATCTGTACAGATGCAGGATGGGGGATGCACCTAGTTGCAAGATAAACTCAAGCAAACAAGGTCTTAAATTCCCACTACTTGAGGTTCAGGCTAAGTTTGGGAAGTCCCAAATAAGCCAAAAAGCCAAAAAGTTACTCAAAAAGTTAAAAAGTTAACACTATTCACCAAAAGTCAACAATTACGGCTGCACAACTCCCAATTCAAATTTTCCTCTACAAACCAATTTTTACAACTTTTTATTACACATTTTTCCATAAAAAGTCAAAAAGTTAACCCAAACATCCATATTTTCAATCTCAATTTTTTAGTCTAAAAAGACAAAAAGTGCACTTATTTAGTCTTCCCAAACTTGGCCTCAACATAAATGACCAACCTGTATGAGCCATTGTGGTTTGTCTCATCACTTTGAATCACGTATTCGGCCTTTCCCTTCTTTTTGCACAATCAACTCTAATCTTATTACTCATGCTCTATGTTACATGAACTTGGGTACAAATATTGGGTGTTGTGCATGTTCAAACGTCAAACCTTCGTAAACCTAAGTCTTGAGACATTAGGATAGGTATCCAAAAGTTGGATATAGGTATAGAGATATGTCATGAACACATATATATTGCATAGGTTATAACAATTTTTTTTTTTTGGGTATCAACAAAATTTCATTAAAAAAGAAAAGTGAAAGAAGACAAGAAGTCCTCATACAAAGAAAAAGCAAGAGAAAGAGCAAAACAAAAGCACAAAACTCCTACCCCTAGGAATGGCAAACAGCAGCCCAATCCCTAGAGATCAAGAACAAAGGAACTCCTTTAAAAGGAGGGGATACAAATGCCAAAAATGAAGCCAAATATTCCGCACTATCCCACACAACCCCTACACTTGCTTCCTTGTCATCAAATATTCTAGCATTTCTCTCCAACCATATAGCCCAGAAAATAGCAAAAACAATGCTTGTCCACATTGTTTTGGCTCTCTTAGTTCTCCCAAACCCTTTAAACCTAATAAGAAGCATTTGAATGCAGTCTCGCGGAGCAACCCACTACTCATCACATAAGCCGAAAAGACGCTACCATAATACATAAGCCACCGGACAATGAAAGAATAGATGATCTGCTACCTCCAAGTTTCTCTTGCACATCACACACCATTGAGGGCAAAGAGAGTGATTACGCCTTCTCCTTTGGAAAACATCATTAGTTGTGACACCCTTTTGAGCCAAACACTACATGAAAAACTTCACTTTATAAGGGACAACCGCTTTCCAAATTTTTTTATGAGAAGGAAACAAGGGAACAGAGGAATTATTAATGAGCTTATCAAAAAAAGATTTGCATGAAAAGACCCCTGAGGAAACAAGATTCCACACCCTAATATCACAAGAGGAAGAAAGAGAGACCTTCTCGAGTGCTACCAACAAAGATGCCAACTCCACCACCTCCCTATCATTCAAGTTTCTGATGAGATCAAAATTCCAAGAGATGGGTGCCATAGAAGAGCATGCCACCGACGCCATTGAAACATTTCAAGAACAAACCAACCAGTAAAGAAAAGGAAAAGATCTATCAAACGAGATATCCCCTAACCAAACATCCTCCCAAAAACGGATGGTCACCCCATTCCCCACTCTCAATGAAAATAAATTAAACACAAGTGGACACAAACGAGAAATGGATTCCCACGGTGAACAACAATTGCCTTTATTAACCACATTAGAATCTCTACCATTTGGTTGAACTCCATACTTGCTTTTAATAACTGAACACCATAGCGATTCACTTTCAATAGAAATCTCCACAACCACTTACCCAAGAGAGCAATATTTCGAGCAACGATATTCCTAATAGCCAAGCCACCTTTTTCCCTAGGAAGAGAAACAGTCTCCCACCAAACCAAATGAACCCCTTTGCCCTCTTCACACCCTTCCCAAAGAAAATCTTTCATCATTTTTTCAATTTTCCTCACAATGCTAACCGGAATTTTGAAAAGGGACAAAAAATAAATAGGAACAGATCCTAATACGGATTGTACCAAAATATATCCCCCCCCCCACACCAAAGACAACAAAGCTCGCTTCCATCCCTCCAATCTTTTTCCAATTTTGACAAGAACAGGCTCCCAAAAGGACGCAAATCTAGGATCTTCTCCCAACAGAAGCCCCAAGTATTTGAGAGGAAAGGAATCAATGGAACATTCCAACATATCCGCCACCCTATGCACATAGCTATCTTCCAAATTAATACCCACGACACATTGCTAATATTGACCTTGAGGTTTGACACAATTTCGAAAATTCTCAGAATCTTTAGCAAACTCCCAACCTTATTTTCCTCCATTGATGAGAAGAAAATAGTATCATCCGCAAATTGTAAATGAGTAACTCCAGTCCTAGCCCTTCCCACCACAAACCCTTCAATGACACCCTTATCCTTAGCTAAATTAATAATCCTACCCAACACATCAGTAACTAAAATAAACAAAAATGGTGATAAAGGATCACATTGCCTTCGACCCCTACATGCCTAAAAAGAATCCCCAGCCTTGCCATTCACAATGACCGACATATTACATTATTAGATAAGATGTTGTCAATTACGTAAAAATGTACTTGAAATTAAATATTATTGAGGAAAAATACAAAATTCTCTTCCATCCATGTGAAAAGCTAGAAATATTTTTTCACTAGTGAATGTGAATTTCTTCCTCTTCATACATTATAATAAATTAGAAAATTCAAGTGTCTAAATTGGGTATGGGTGTTGTGGACACATATCTCATACCCTTACTCTTGTCATATTTGACGGACACAAGTACTTTGGGGGAAATAGAATATAGTCCTGAAAAGCGGTTGCGGTTGCGGTGGCGGTGGCGGTGGCGCGGTTGCTGGGTGTAAAGGCCTTAGCGTAATGGTTGCGGTAACCGAAACCGTGAATTTTTTTATTTTTCGCACAATTTGAAAAAAACTTACAGATTCTCATTTTTTTTTCATGATCATATTTATTGGGTTTAAAATAAATATTAATCAATTTTTGTAAATTTTTAAGTATGATCCAATATATTTCATATTTTTTTTTAAATCACTATAAACTGAGTTTTTTACATTTTATTTTAATAATTAATAATTTTATATTATACAAAAAATCAATCACTAACTATTATATATAAAATAAACAATGACAAAAGTAAGAGAATAAATAAGAGCCTAAATATATATATATACATATATACAACCAAGCCAAATAGATGATGATCACACTTATTATTATTATTATTATTTTCAAACAATATATAGATAAACACACACAAACAAAATCGTTGAGTGATAGCAGTTGAATAGAATAGCATAGGTTTTACAGCTTCAACAAATTAAAAACATGTTCTTCATCTTCCCTCTTCTCTCTCTCTATCTCTTCCTCATCCATTTTCTCTCTTTATCTTCCCTCTTCTCTCTATCCCTCTTCCCCCATTTTCAGCTTTTTTTATGTGTTTTTTCGAAAGAAACAGTTTGGAACCGTGCCATAACAGGCCGTTACGGCTGTTATGGCACCGTTACGACCGCTACGGCGGCCGCTACGGCCGACACACCTGTGAATCTCAATCACACTGCAAAAACGGCCGTAACGGGTGGCAGTAACCACCAAAACCGTTACGTAACGGTTGCGGCCACTTTTTAAAACCTTGAATCCATGTCTACTTTGTTCATCACATACTTCTACAGGAACTTACCAAAAAGTGAAGAATGCAAGAACCGAATGCAGCTTGAAACCATGATTTACGTAGATGATGAGAGAAAAAGAAAAAGTTTTCGTAACCAAGAATCCCACATTTAGGACACCTATCACTAATTCAGTATAGCTTGGTAGTATTTCTAAAACTTTAGATGTCATTTTGATGCAAAGTTTTCCAATGCAATAAAAATAGGACTCTTTTTGTTTGGTACATTGGATGGGAAGGGGGGAATTGAATGACCACCTAGTGAGGTTCACGGATTCTGATTAAGGTTGATATCAAACATCAAACAACAAATTAAACCATGATTCTGACTTTTAGTCGCAACATTGGAAGTCAGCATTTCTCACAGCCCTGCTAAATTTCAATGAAATGAGTTTTGCAATTTGACAAGAAGTTAAAGTTCCAATCCACTTACCCAAAAAAAAAAAAAAAAAAGGTTCCAATCCGATGCATAGAACTTACAAAACTATGTCACTTTCTAAATACCAAAGTTTGAAAGAGTAAGTGAAAAAAGGACTAGCAATAACCTAAATGTTCAAAATAAATATATCTTATATGATGAATTTGATGTACGTAACAACTTCTGTTGCTCCAAACGCAGAATGAGTATATGATAATTAGTGAGTTTAGACTATGCAGAACAGAACCTAAAGACCGGGAACATGTAACTCTGTAACAAGCAGAGTACCAACATAATCAAATCAACTACCTGGCTGTGCATTATCAAGTTCCAACTGATATCCACGACATCTTTGAGGCGCAAGCAACTTCGGTAATACCTTAAATGAAATATGATCTATATTTACCTATCACGTAACCATCATCTCTCAGTCTATGGGTCAAACGTTGAAATCTATTTTATTCCAAGATCTCAAACCCCCCATGCCTCCAAACCCCCTTCTCCCAAAATAGAAGTTTCAAGACATTTATATTTGATTATACACACATTACATAATATGGTATCAATAAATGAGATTCATTATTTTACAGTTCACGCTATGGTAAAAGCAAAGATGAGAAAAGCTAAAACAAAACAAACACACAAGAACTTACGTGGTTTGGCAATATGCCAACGTCCAAGGGTGAAGAATGACGAACATATAGGTTAAAATGAGCAGGCGTTCTCTCTCTCTCTCTCTCTCCCAACCATCTTACCGAAACTCACAACAACATTATAAACCCTAGAACCTCAAAATAACCCAACATACACAATAATCCGAAACTAGAAAACCTCCGGGTCAAATCCGAGGCACACCCACAACAGGTCAGATAGCTTATCGTTATTTTTCAATCCAAAGGAGACAAAAAAGAAAGCCAATGCTGACATGATGAACTCTAATGCTTATACTATTAATTTGTGAAGTCAATGTAAACCACTCACACATAAGCAGTAGGAAGCACACAACCACAAGGTTCATTACTTTTATTTGAACCTGGTTCTGCTTCAAATCAACATGTCTGTATATTACTTATATAAATTCTGAAGTTGTAAAAATTAAAGCAATGTAAAGGGCCAAAATACCTGGAGCATCGTGACCTGTGCAGATAAGGTAGTTGCTTCTGTCTGAAGGGTCTGCACTTTCCTCTCCAGCTCACCCGTATACCTTATTTTACGCTCCTTTGATCGTGCTGCAGATTGTCTATTTGCAAGAATCCTACAAAAATCAACAAAACCAAACAAAGGAATAAGAAAATACAAGAAATCAAAGCCATGAATCCCCCATTAGGATTTGGAGTGGCTGCTGTGTTGGGGGCGCTGTCAGCCAAATGGACCCATTTCAAGGCCCATTTTGATGATCCAAACTGTTCATAAGTACATCAAAAAGAACATACCTGCAAACAATCAAATTAATCGGATACCGTTGACCCTTTCATCACTCACATTTGTATTCAGCAGCCACCCCAAATCCCATTAATTGTTGTGGTTTGTAGGCAATCAAAACTTAACTAAGACAGAGAATGGTCCAAGTCCCAATTAAATGCTATTTTCCCCAATTTTTAGGGATAAAATTACTGGGTTTTCTCAGGAACCAAACAAAGAGTAGAAAAAATTCCCAGATTCGAAGAAGAAATTTATTCTGTGTCCACCAACCAAAGCTATTCAATGAATGAATGAAAAAAAAAAAAAAACTCAAATCACAGAAATTGATTGATAGGAAAGAAAATGGTCAAACCAATTTGAGAGAGAGAGAAAGAGAGAATGAACCTCTTAGCTCTCTTGGGATCGAGCAAAGCGAGCTCAGCGAGTCGATCAGGTGCCATAGCCTTCTTCAATCCATCCATCGACGAATCCCCTTCAAACGACGACGTGGAACCGTCCATCGAGTTACTATGCCTGTGACGGTGCCCCCCCGCCGGCGGCTTCCCCCCAAATCTATCCGTCTCTCCGCCACCGCCGGAGCTGAACTCCAGCCCCTCAAAGAAGTCTGTGCCGAGGGACAAGCTGCGGAGGTGGTTGGCCGCGGCGGCAGTGGTGGGCTTGGAGTTGTCTAGGACGGTGGAGGAGGAGTCATAGAAGGAGGTATCGACGGCCATGGCGGTGGTGGTCTCGGTGTCGGAGGAGAGAGAAGGGAAGTCGAGGGAGGCGAGGTTGAAGTCGTCGTCGTCGAGGAGGATGTCGTCGGGGAACCGGAAGAAGGTCTCTGACTGGGCGCGGCGGTGGTGGGAGCGGCGGGTTGGGGTATCCGCCATCTGATCGATGTCGGTGAGGCCGGAGTGTACGGCGGCGATGGACTTTCCGGCGAACTTCGTGTCCATCTTCTTTTGTGGTGAGCGTGTGTGTGCGCGCTGCAATAATTAATCTGTGGAAGTAGGAGAGAGAGAGAGAGAGAGAGAGAGAGAAAAGAGGTGTTTTGTAGTAATTTGATTGTTCAATAATAAAACGGGAAATGCTCCGGTGTATATCCAGTGTGCCATACATGGCACAAAATTAGGCTACTTTTTCCGAATTTATATTAGTGATTTTATAAAAATATGTAAGTTAAATATAAATTTGTAAAAATTTATAAAATTTATATGATTTTGTAAAGAGTGCTGTTATTAACACCTATCAAAATTTTTTGGACCTCCCATGTTTTTGGGCCCCAGCCCTAAACCCTAAATTTTAATAATATTTTTTTGAACACCTCACTTATTATCAAATCTACCCATATTCATAATATTTTCATAATGAAATACACACTCACCTAATTTTTCATCCCTTTCCTTCCCTAACTCTCCTTCGACAAATCAAAACTCGCTCCTTTCATCCTCATCTCCTGAATCCACCTCATCACTGCTCTGTCATCGCTCCTCTCTCTCTGCAACTCTCTCTCCACTTTCCAGTACCTCTAGAGCTTAATCTGAACCAAGAAGATCACAACAATCGAAACCGAAACCGAAACCGACAAAATCGATAAAACCCACCATTTTTCACACAAAGATTTATAATCATTTTGGTTTTTGGTGGTTGAAGTGAAGAGAATGATTGAGAATAATGAGTGGAAAATGAAGAAGAAAAAACAGAGTTGGAATATTTCTCTTCCAATTGTGTCTTTTCTTGTTTCTTTAATTGTGATTTGGTGAGCACAGAGGTGTTCTTATCTTTGCAAGAGCTTGAGAAGTAAGAGGTGACCTGGGCTTTGAGAGATTTCCATTAATGAGTGGTTTTGAATTGTGGAGATTAGTTTGTGGGGTTGGTGTTCTTCATCGATTGGGATTTCGACGACGTGAGTCTCTTTGAAATTTGCCATTGATTGGGAAATTCAGATGAGAAAGTGAAGATTGATGCAAATTGTAGGAATAGAAAACAATGTATTTATATGGAAAACTAATCTCCACAATATTTTTACAATGAAATGCACACCTACCCAATTTGTTCACCACTGTATAGTCGAAAAAATATATTTTGTTCAAAATTGTTTTGTCGAACAATAATGATCCTGTCAGCACTGTATGTTCGAACAAAATTTGTTGATCACTGTGTAACTTGAATCCATTCCAATTCACAACTTAAAATAATATGAATTAAATCCATTCAAAATACATAACTTAAATCCATTCCAATTCACTCTTTTCCATTCTAAGGTAGTTTAACAAAGAAAATTACATAACTGACTATCTGCATTAATGTTCGGAACCTATGTATTGAACGAAAGGATGGTAGCATACACAATGACCACCCTTTAAGGCGCAAAACTACAACACTTCAAGGCAATGAATGAGACGCAAATGATAATGTAAGATCACATTATATGGAATGAAACATGGTATTAAATGATGCCGAATGATGATAACAAGCTTATGCTAAGCATGTTGGTGACCCATACAACCAAGGCTTACAAGCCAAAATGCAAAGCAACTATATCAAGCATGCCAAACATGACAAAATCAGTGGCCAACAGACTTTAAGCATGACAAAACATGGCCAAATACTTCACAAGGTTAAGTCAAAACAAGAGGATATGCTAGGCTAAACATATAGCACACTTCTAGGCAAGATGGAAA